TCTGTGTTCCCACGATTGCATTTTAAAGTTTAGCTGCATATTTTATTTTCACAGCTTTTACATATTGCCTCTTAAATCCTTCCCCATCTCCGCTATAATGCATTTTTTACGTTACGAATATACACTTTTATTTTCTTAAAAACATTTTATCTTTACCTACTTTTTTATAAACACGATTAAATTACCTTTTACGAAATGCCATCTCTAAAAACGTAGAAGGCATTTTTAAAGAGTAGCTGCAAACTGTTCTCTCTAGAGAAACATGCACACACAGTGAGCGATCCATTGGAAATCTATTTTAAAACCCTGATCAGCAAGCCGTTTTATGCATAAACAATTAAATTACTTGCCAGACAAGTTCCCAGTTGCCGCCGCGGACAAAGTTTGTGACACAGTGACAAGAGAACTGGTTCATCACGGACAAACTGTGTTCAGGTGGGGCCGTGGTGCCTGTATGTCCGTGGGGTGTGCGTCGTCCTGGGTCGGCTAAAACACATCCGTGTGTTTGCTGTCCCGCCACGCCCTCCCCCATTCGTGTTCCTGCTGCTGGAACCCCGTGCACTCTGGGCTGCATGAAGAGCTAACATTTATTCACACGTTTTATAACACTAGTGATCTTTAGGTTAACGTGTTATTGTAGGAAAAGTTGGAACAGCAAATCCCATGTGGTATGTGCTTGTCTGTCTGGGAGAGTAAAAGGCCGCTCAGGACGAAAGCGCATCTGGCCAGAACAGAGCAGTCTGACGCTTTGTCCCGCGGCGGCGGCGCGTGACCCGCTCCCCACTGGGGACCGAGATGGGTGTGGAGAAACCGGTGAGACCCTCCAGGCTCAGGGGCGCTGGTGGGTGGTGGTTTTGGTCTCGAAGCTAGTGGTGCTGGAGGGCTGACGGCGGCTCCGCAGGCCTCCTCCCTGGGCCCCCCTGTGGTGCATTTTTAAGTTGAGAGTTCTGATGACAGCATTCCTGTTCTTTTTTGGAAAAGGAGTGATGACCCTGTCTGACATAGCAGTTTTTGCCTGTAGCTAAAAAGAATATCACAAAGATCTGTTGATTGGGCTGCGGACGAAGGAGGGTCAGTGGCTGGGAATCACTTTCCCACTGTGGCTTTAAAGGTTCGCAAGAAACTTCGTTAGTGGACCGTGGGCGTCAGGAAGGGGCCACTTGGTGGAGCTTTTTCAAGTGGAGCCCATTTTGTTGATGTTGTGATTTCCTTAAGATAGGGGTGTTTGGGGCTTAAATAGTTAGTGCTGTTAGAGCATTTTTTCCATTTCTACATTGATCTGTTTTGCCCTTGGTAATATCTCTAGGTTCTTTAAAACGGCGCCCCATGCTCCTCTGCCCGGCATTTACAGCAGGGCTTCGTTTTGAAAGATGGGGGTGGGCAGAGAAGAAGTGGAAAACAAGAGAGAAAGAGGAGCCTGTTTGCGGATGGCGGGGGCGCTCTTGACGGCCTTCCTTGAGAAGCCGCCTGGAAATTGCAGGGCCCCGTTGGCCTCGGGGAAAGCTTTTCAGCTGGTTTTGGAGGAAGCCCGAGGAAGAACACTGTATTCTCTGGCGTTTGGGTTCTTGACGGAAGGTGCCCAGGCCTGGGCTGGGGTCAGGGGCGTGGGGGAACCGGACACTCGATGAGTCCAGGCTGTGAGGAGGAACGTGGATTTCTCAGCCAGCCAACATGGCAGCTGCCTGCAGTGTGCAGAGGACTGAGGACCCCCCTGGAAAGAACGAGAAGTGCAGCCGCATCCCCTTGGCCCAGCAGCCTAGCTGCTGGATGCTCTGGTGGCCTGGACCACCTGAGCCACTTCCTCCCGTCCCCGCTGTGGTGGCCAAGCTGTGCGCACACCTGCTCCCCGCCTTTGCAGCTCACCAGAGACCATGGGCTGCAGGGCAGGGCGCCGTCTGGTGTTACATGTGGGCCCGGACCAGGCAGGTGTTTACTGTGTACGGACGTGTGCAGGGATCTGGGGGGCGCTCCGAGGACAGGCTCGGCAGGGGCTTCCCTGACCCTAGGCTCCTGAGAGATGAGGAGAGGAGCCTGGGCCGTGAGGGTCGCCCCCTGAGACCCACCTGGCTGGTTAACGGGGGACCAGGGCTCCTAACGGTGCATCACTCCGTGCTAGCGCTGGGGTGGAGACCCCCGACCTGCCATGCCGCATCCTTGAAGCAGCCCTGCAGCTTGGGAAGCATTTGACTTTCACGACCCCTGGGGGTGCTGAACACGCAGTAGCAAAGAAGGAGGGTATAACCCGGCCACAGGGCATGCATTGGTGATGGTTTGAACAAGTCTTCTCACTTGAAAAATCCGCTTTTATTTCCAGGTGCATTTGTGGGTTGCCTCTTGTGGTCCTGAACTGGTTGAGCACTGGTACTCCGTGAACCTCGTCTTTGTGGCTGTTTGATCCCCTAGAATTGGAGAACTGTCTGACTTTAATACTCTTCATCGACCAACTGAGAGGTGTGGTGGACTTTGTAAAATTATTTCAGAGCCGCCAATTTCCAGTTTTTTTCCTTCATAAAATTATTTCTTTATGATTCTTTTTTTTTTTTTAAAGATTTTATTTATTTATTTGAGAGAGCGAGAATGAGAGAGAGAGAGTACATGAGAGGGGGGAGGGGCAGAGGGAGAAGCAGACTCCCTGCCAAGCAGGGAGCCCGATGCGGGACTCGATCCTGGGACTCCAGGATCATGACCTGAGCCGAAGGCAGTCGCTTAACCAACTGAGCCACCCCAGGCGCCCTCTTTATGATTCTTTAAACTCCTAAGATCTTTATGTCCAGATTAGAGCATTGAGCTAAATATGAATAGTATGTTTCATTCATACTTTTGTATAGTAGGTCACATTCATCATTTTGAGGGGATGAAATAAATCCTGGGATAGAAGGGGATGCATGCAAATCATTTGCAGTATAACCCATAAGTAATGTACAACATACACAACCATCAAAACTTGTGCCAAGACCAAAGCGGCTTGAAAAGATGATTTAAATTAGCTTAAATCATCATTAAGAGGTGTTCTTGTTAACCCAATTTGTCCATTTTTATGGGGAGTTTTTATTTATGTACTTTATTGGAGTCCTTGATTTTTGGAGGCTCTCTCTCGGCAGGAGGAACTCTGCACCTGTTAGTGTCGAGAGTAAAGATTACCTGTGTGCCCCTCTCCTTTCTGCCTCTTTCCAGACTTGGCTGCTCTCACTGCATTGGTTTCTTTGGGTGCCTGGGAACCCCGCTAGCACGGGGCTTTATCAAAAGATGTTTCAGAATACATCATTTTAAATAAGATTTCTTCTAAGGGCCTGTGGGAGGAGGTGTTTGGAGAAAGCAGGAGGTGTGTTGTCTGTCCAGAGGGCATCTATCACGATGGCTTCTGCACCCCTGCCTCCAAGTGGAGGACAGGCCGTGCCATGCGCTCAGAATCCCTCCTGGTGGGCAGGTTCCCCTGTGCTCTTCACTTCCCTGTCCTCTTGTCAGTACTCTTTTCTGTGTCCGCTCTGGTGAAGCCGTGTCGGGCCAGACGACCAGAGCAGACAAGGAGTCGCTGCCCAGGGTCTTTTGGGAGAGAACCTTTCATTCGTGAGCAAAAAGTGTGTATTAGTACATTGGTTCAAAACCAGAAACCTATAGCTTCTTCATGTTTTGTAAATTTTATAATACGGGTTCTTAGTGTGTATGAGGTTGTGAGTTTGTAAAAACATGGCATCCTTTATATATGTCATGGCTATTTTTAAAGAAAATCTGCCCATCTGGGTGCCTCTCGGTGCAAGTCTGGAGCCCCCCTCCCATCTCCACCCCTGTAGGGAGACCCTCAGAATCCTGTCTCAATTACTTCAGCTTGGAGGTGAGAAGGATAAACAGACCGTGTCCCAGGGGAGTTGTGGGGCCGCCTTGCCTCCCTTTCTAACCCATCAGAATGCTATTCTGAAAGAAGCCCTCTCTCCCATTCTTTCTAATTGGCTCACTGTTTTGTTTATTCTACTTATCACAAGTCAGATGGAAATTCCTGTTTTTACTGCAGATAATTGCTTTTTGGTGTGTACTGTCTTGGGCCCATTTGGCGGCTTGCAAGCATTCGGGTTGGCTTTCCTGCCGTGTGGCTGGTTGCCCGCGTGTGCCAGGCACGGCGCTGGGCACCTCCCTTGTCTGGTTTGTCTTTGCCCGTGCACAGGGTGCCAGAAACAGCCGGACACCTGGCGGAGTGGCTCTGACAGGGCCTGGAAGGTGTGTGACACCTGCTGTCACCAGGGAGAGGCATACCCAGTCTCCCTGGAAATGCACCGTGGGGATGAGACCTGTGGAGAAGGGTGGGGGGTGACGCGTGACGCCCGGGGTCCAGAGGGTTTTCTGCACTGGGGCTGGGACTTAGCCCTACAGCCGGATCCTAGGGGGCCTTTTGGGGATTGGGGTGGCGTGGTGCTGCGGGAGCAAAAGGACGGGATGGGCCTGGGTTGGGGCTTTTCTAAGAGGCAGTGGTTCCGTGGCCCTGTGCACCTCGAGGTGGTGTTAGCTGGGGCTGCCGTGCCGGCCGTCGGTCCTGAGCAGCCGGCTCCAGGCATAGACCTTGCATGAGCTCGGGGTCAGTCACCTGCGCTCTTCGCCGAAGACTTGTTTCCCTAGCATCTCAACACAGGGCACATTTGTCAACTGCCTTTGCGGCTCACTTGGCCCGGGCACGAGTTGTGCCTCTGTGTCCCTTACCAGCCTCTCCCTGGCCCTTTCTCCTTGTTCCCGTTCCCCACCCGCTCTTCTGGTCTGTGGCCTGTATTTTTCACACTCCACAACTTCACTCACCTCAGACTGTCCTTAAAGATTTGGTATCTTTTTGAGAAAAATTATTCTAGCGTACAATCTTGTAAGGTTATTTGTTTTAATGATTGAGCACACAATTATCAATAACTGTTTAAATATTGATCCCTTAGAGGAAAGCAGCTGCTAGTACATCGACTTGAATTTGTGTTGGCGTCTCCTTTGATGCGGACTGGCCTGCTGTTTTTCAGGAGCGTGCCTGTCGCTCCCCGTGGAGGTTGCTGGTTCCCTGCGGATGTGGGAAACCTCGTTCCTAAGATCTCCATGTCTTTTCTGTTTCAGGTGCTCTCTGCCGTCTGCCATGCTTTCCAGGTAGGAGATGCCGGTTGTCCTGGCAGGTGCGTCCGTGCAGCTGGGAAGCAGAAGCCTCGTGTGAAGATGGAGAGATAAGACGTCGTCAGGCAGGCCTGTGCGACAGAAAGCTGTGCCCGCCCCGGCCAGGGAGCCCTGGTCCTGGAGATGGATCGCAACCGAGAGGCCGAGGTGGAGCTGAGAAGGGGCCCGAGCCCCAGCAGGACAAGCAGGAGCCCCGAGGCGGACGGAGACAAGGCCATGAGCCACAGCTGCTGCATCTGTGGCAAGAGCTTTCCCTTCCAGAGCTCCCTGTCCCAGCACATGCGCAAGCACACGGGGGAGAAGCCCTACAAATGTCCCTACTGCGACCACAGGGCTTCCCAGAAGGGCAACCTGAAGATCCACATTCGCAGCCACCGCACTGGCACTCTGATCCAGGGCCACGAGCCGGAGGCTGGTGAGATGCGCGTGTCCGAGGGCCTGGACGGCTGCACCAGCCCCACCAAGAGCACGTCCGCCTGCAACAGGATCCTCAACGGGGCCACCCAAGTGGACAACAGCAAGATCCTGCTGAGGAGCAGCAAGAAGGAGGCCGAGGGGGCTGCCTGCGCCCCAGAGGAGGGCAAGGCTGCAGCCCAGTGTTCCTTCTGCAAGTGCAAGTTTGAGCGCAAGAAGGACCTGGAGCAGCACGTGCACCAGGCCCACAAGCCGTTCCGCTGCAGGCTCTGCAGCTACATGACGCTGAGGGAGGAGTCCCTGCTGAGCCACATCGAGAAGGACCACATCACTGCGCAGGTGCCCGGTGGGGCTGAGGCCTACGTGGAGAACGGCAAGCCGGAGCTGACCCCCGGGGAGTTTCCATGCGAGGTCTGCGGCCAGGCCTTCAGCCAGACCTGGTTCCTGAAGGCTCACATGAAGAAGCACAGGGGCTCCTTCGACCACGGCTGCCACATCTGTGGCCGAAGATTCAAAGAGCCGTGGTTCCTCAAAAACCACATGAAGGCGCACGGCCCCAAGACTGGGAGCAAGAACAAGCCCAAGAGTGAGCTGGACCCCATCGCCACCATCAACAACGTGGTGCAGGAGGAGATGATCGTGGCTGGCCTGTCCCTCTACGAAGTCTGCACCAAGTGTGGGAACCTGTTTACAAACCTGGACAGCTTGAACGCGCACAATGCCATCCACCGCAGGGTGGAAGCCGGCCGGACACGGGCTCCGGCCAGGGAGGGCGCGGTGCAGGGCAGCCCCCCGGACTCCCAGCAGCTCTTCCTTCAGTGCCTCAACCTGCGGCCTGCGGTGGCCAGCACGCCCGCCCACGGGCAGGCGGGGCAGCGTGTGGCCGAGCTGGACCCGGTCAACAGCTACCAGGCCTGGCAGCTGGCCACGCGGGGCAAGGTGGCCGAGCCGGCTGAGTACCTCAAGTACGGGGCGTGGGACGAGGTGCTGGCCGGGGACGTGGCCTTCGACAAGGAGCGGCGCGAGTACATCCTAGTGAGCCAGGAGAAGCGCAAGCGCGAGCCGGAGCCCGGCACTCAGGGGCCCCCGCGCAAGCGGGCGGGCGCGCCCGGGGACCCCATGCCTGGACCCCTGGACCCCAGGCCGGCCCCACGGCCCAGCCGCCGCGCTGCTGCCCCTGCTGGCCATGGCAAGTCCTCTGAGTGCTTCGAGTGCGGCAAGATCTTCCGCACCTACCACCAGATGGTGCTGCACTCCCGGGTGCACCGCCGTGTGCGCCGAGACCGTGATGGCCCCGGGGATCGGGGGCCCCGTGCGCGCTGTGGCTCGCTCAGCGAGGGCGACTCGGCCTCGCAGCCCAGCAGCCCAGGCTCGGCCTGTGGTGCTGCCGCTGACTCCCCAGGCTCGGGCCTGGCAGACGAGGCTGCGGAGGAGAGCGGAGAGGACAGTGCAGCCGACCCTGCACCAGGTGAGCGTGCGCCTGGGCAGCTGGGCTCAGAGAGTGAGGGCCAGAGAGCTCTGTACCTGGGTGACCCGTGCCCAGGTAGTCCCGGCTCCGTAGCCCTGCACCCAGCTGATCCCCTGTCCGGATATCCCAGAGCCCAGGTATCCAGGTAACGCAAGTCCAGGTAGCTCTGTGCCCGTGAGGCCTTCCCGAAGTATCCCTGAGCCCAGGGAGGTCCAGTGCCCAGGTAACACATGCCGAGATGGTCCAGGCTCAGGTGGCCCACTGGCCCGGTAGCCCTTAGCCCAGGAGGTCCAGGGCCAGGGAGTCAGGGCTCAGCCCTGCGCCCTAGGGGCCTGGTTTCCAGACCCAGGCAGTCCCAGACCCAGGTAGACCCTGCATCCAGGTGACCCTGTGCCTGGATAGCTCTTGCCTGGGTATTCTTGACCCAGGTAGCCTTGCACCTAGGTGGTCCCACCCCCAGGTATTAGGTAGCCAGTGTATACTTAGAGCTCAGGCTGGTGGGTGCGGACACAGGTGCCTGTCAGCTCTGCTTCAGGCTCCTTTCTTGCTAATTTGCCCGGATGTGTTTGCATTAATTAACACCTTTGGCCTGTTGAATTCACAGTTTCTCTGGGGCATAAGTCATTTCTGAGCAAAGGACAGGTGATGGGACACCTCCGAGGCGTGCCCTTCTCTTTCTCCACAGGCCCAGAGCCTGCTCCGTCCCCAGGCGGCAAACGCATGCACACGCACTTGCCTCTGCTCACCTCCTTTGAACCAGACAGCTGAGTAGAAGAGTAACTTCCAGTCGGTGTGCGGTTATAATTAATCTCCTCAGATTCAAATACCCTGTGGGTTTAGAGACGGCTCATTGGAACAGATGACTCTCCGAATAGCAGCTATGTAAATATTTAAAGATGCTTGACTAACTTTGTTTTCGTCATTTTTCTACTTTTTATAAGTCTTAAGCATTTTGATATTTTATTCATTATTTTTTGTTTTGGGTAATTCTTTTTAGTAGAAGGTGATGTTCCAGTGACGGAACTTGTAACATTCTCCGCATCACGAGGACCGTTTTTCTCTTCTCCCTGGAAACTGGTTCGTGGATGTTGCTTTTACCTGAAAGGCCAGGGGTGTAGGGGTGTAGAAACCCAAGAGCTTCAGCAGGGCTATTTATAATCTGTAGTAAGGAAAACGACCGTAGTGCAGTCCTCCAAAACAAAACACAGATCTGTGTCCTTTTTTCTTTATGAGGGGTTTAGCCAGTTCTTTGAAACAAATGATACTGAGTCAGTAAAAGTGTGGAAGAAAGTTGTTTCTCTAATCCTGTAGAGAAGCCTATGTTGACCCTGCACATACACCTTGTAAGGGTCCATATAGATAGATGAGCAGTGACACGTTATGCACTGACCCTTGTTGTTTCCCATTTCATTTCTTACTCATTAACCTGTGGGAAGGAGCAGGGGAACACGCTACTCTCTGAAAATACACTGCTCCTTCTCTGAGCTCAAGATTCCTGCAACAGTTTATCGTCGTAAAACCTGGCAAACCCAACTGCGACCTTTGGTTGGCATTTTTGAAGATTAATTCTTGGTTTTTCTCTTTAAAAAGTTTTGATAATTACAGATTTTACTGATGATATTCCAATAATACTGTTTTTGGAGCTCATTGGATAAAATGTTAGGATAGAACTAAATCTTTTTTCTTTTTTTGAAGATAAATATTTTTAACATTTGGAAAAGCTCTTGAGCCTTTCCCTCATCTATGGTGATGGTGGTCAAATGATAATAATCTAATTCAATAGTACTTTGAAAATGTTGGAAAAAAAAATGTTTTTCACTATACATTGGAATTTACTTTTTTTCCTCTCAAATTCATTAAATTTGAGATTATCATTTACCTCCTAATGAAATATGTATTTTCTATATGTGATGTTTTTTTGAGAAACTTAATACATCACATTTTTCTGTAACAAGTTCATGTATCCTAGTTGAGTTCAACAAGTTGACAGTAGAGTTAACAGAATACGGTAGCTCATTGAGAGACCGGAAAAGGAAATTTGTCATGACGGTGGCATAAAGTGTTGAAGAACACTTTTGTGACTCTGTAGGGCAGAATCTTTCCTTCTAAAACTACAGACTTCCCAAGCTCAGCAGGCCTTTAATGGTCTAGGGTGGGCAATAAACCACTGCTTCAGAGATGTTCTTTTAGGAGTGAGATGTGCATTATATATGTAATACTCAAAGGCACTCCCATTTGCAGGGTTTGGCTAAGGACTTTGGAAAAGCAAATGAGTATTTTGAATCCTCTGTTTCGATCTGCAGCGTGCCTTTACTATTACTAAAAGATGAATTACGTCTTTACACATATAGGCAACTTAAAATTCTTACAGAACTCTGATGGGATGGCTGGCTAAAATTGTTAAAGGAAATATGTGGAGATTCAGAACAAAGCACCACAGTAGGTGCCATAAGAATGAATCTGGCTTCTGGTGGAAGCAGGGTTGACATTAGAATTCTATCTTTGTGACCTTGCTTAGCAAGTCCCCATTGTGCCATAATTTTACCCCAAGATTTTTTGACGTCTAGGAATGGATTTGAATGCTGCTTTTGGCTCTAGAGAAACTTTGCATTATCAGATTAATTAAAAGAAACTTTTTTTTTTCCATGAAAAAAAGCTCTGTTACATTTGTTTAGAAAGCTCTGTTTAGAAAGCTCTGTTACATTCCCTTTATTTCCATGGAAAACTGGGTCTTACCAAAAATGGGAGAAGAGCAACCTTGTGAATAAAAGTCAATCAAATATAAAATACGTTACTGAGCTAGATTTCAGCCCTCCACCGAGAAGGTGACATAGCCCTGATAGAGAAAATACACTTTTGGAGCTCATGAAGAAATGAAACCTTTTAATTAGGGAAGAGAGGAGCATTGAAAGGGCGTGTAATTCAAGTTTACAAAAACGAGCATTTCCAAGCACAAAGCAGAGTCAGGGTGCTTCCAAGTCATCACGAGGACAAGGGAGTATTATTTCACAATAAGCTGAAGCAGGATTCTGCTCAGAAAGCTTGTAGGCAATTTAGGAATGAGGGACCCCTGGTGAGCATGTCTTGAAGAGGTCAGTTCACAACCCGTGTGATTGTGAGAAGCACCTTTGGGTGGCCTGCCTTTTCTCAGGCCATGAGAGGTGTGTCCACCTGCCCTCAGGCAAAATGCCAAAGACCCCATTCCCACCATTTATCTGCATATCGTTTCTGCAAAGACTTATGTGACTACCTAGGTTTTGACTCCTTCTTGTTATTCTCAAGGCTGCTATCACATTAAATCCGTGTTCTATTGAGCCTGCCTCTCAGTACATCTTTGCATATTCTGTGCAACTTAAATGGTAGTAAAGCCACAAGTTTTAGTTGAAGTCCTGTGAAATTGCAAATATTTGTTTCTGACCCACAAAGATGTTAGACTGCTCTACCGGACAGAGGAACAGGTTCTTAGAACAAGTGGCGCGGGCGCCTGGGTGGCTCAGTTGGTTAAGCGACTGCCTTCGGCTCAGGTCATGATCCTGGAGTCCCGGCATCGAGTCCCACATCGGGCTCCCTGCTCAGCAGGGAGTCTGCTTCTCCCTCTGACCCTCCCCCCTCTCATGAGCTCTCTCTCTCTCAAATAAATAAATAAAATTTTTAAAAAAAAAAAAAAAGAACAAGTGGCGCAATATTACATGCAGTTTGGAGAATTAAGGAGAGAGTTTCCAGAACTGAACAATATCATTGGAAGGGAAAGGCAATTGAAGGAAGAAACGGATTTCCTTCAGAAAGTGTCCGTTTTCCCTGCTTGGCCACAGCCTCGTACATCGCGGCTCATCTTGTTTCCATCCTAGTTGAAGGAAGGTCCCCCATCTCTTCGCCAAGAAATGGTAGCTGAGCATGCGCCTTGAGACAGAGCGGCGGTCAGCGGCGGTGCCAGGGCGGGTGAGGAGTGCCCACCGTGGTGGGGCAGCTGGTGCAAAGCTCCAGCAGCCCTTCTGCTTTCTGTTTCTTAGAGCATGGACAGTCATTTGGACGGCTCGGGAAGAACATGTTCTCAGACTTCCGCCCATTGTAACAGGATTTCGGGTGAACCTAGCTAATAGAGATCGATGTGGAACATGGGGTGTGCTGGGGAGGGGCATCTGTCCCAGGCTGGGCCTGCTGAGACAGGAGGCTTTTATTATCACTCCTCTTAGAGTTTGCTTCAGTGTGGATCTGAAGGGGTGCATCCAGAGCGCTGTGTCCTCATTGTGCTTCTGGCCAGATGTGCTCGAGATGCTGCAGCCCCCGTGTTTCTGGTGGCCACACAGATGGAGTGGCAGGAGGGCCTGCAGCATTGGCCCCAGCCAGAGGCTAAGCATGAGCTAGTGCATCAGGGGGGTGTGGATAAGGGCAGGGAGAACGCGGGGGGGACACGGGAGCCCCAAGTGCAGATGGGAGGTGACAGGATGTGGTTTGCCCGGGAAGCAGAGCACGCACATCTGGGGACAGTTCCACCCAAGCACCAAAGCCTTGCTGGACGGAGCTACAACAGGTGGTCCTTCTGTGGGTGGGCCGGGGTGGTCGGGCGCCCTCTGTCACAGATGAGCCTGTGGAACTGATAACAGGAAACCCCAGGACCAGTTTTGAGTCACCGGGCAGTTCGCTCAGGCTTGCTTTGTCCAGTTTCTCTGTCGCTCTGGCAACCTGGAGGTCACTGCCAGCAATATCTAATAAACGTCCACACACAGACTGATGTCCGCTCAGGAGGGGCCCCAGGGGCACGCCCTGACGTTGGTGTCAGGTGCCAGGCCGTACGCGCAAGATGCTCTCCGCCGTGTGGCCGGTGCCAGGCCCTGTTTCCACCAGTGCCAGATAATTCCCGTCACCTTAGAGCCGGAGATCATGGAAGAGCAGGTCTTTTCCAGGTTCCGGAAGAGAGCCCTAGAATGCCCAGCAGATCAGCGCCACGGGAGTGGAGGCATTTCTGAATACTGAGGAATCTCAGAGTTGGAAACCCTCCT